TAATTCGTCCTCTTCTGGACTTTAGTTCCAGACCTTGAGTTTTGTATGCCAGTCCGTTTGACAGAAGTGGCTTTTTTTTAAATGCACACTGTTAGTTCCTTGCTTCTCAGGCAGATGTATTTCAGTTTCAAAGGAAACCCTTCATTAGGCGACCCGCTTGTAAGTGGTCTCCGTTTTTCCCCACCAATCGGGTCCCGGAACCCACACCGGAACAATCACGCAAATCTTGCTAGGTCTACATCTTAATAACCACTCAACATTCTGTTGACGATGTAGTCAGCACCGTGCCGGTCGCCTTTACTTCCAGCTACCAGACAAGAGACTTTCTTCAGAACTACGACTGCTTACACAAATTCCAAGAGGAAATTGATTATTTAAGAAAGTCCCCGTTTGGGTTCCGGGGCCCCATCGTGGGGAAAACAAGAATAGAACCTCTGCCTACTCAAAAGCATGTCGTAAGAGTCGACTAACTGGGGAGCTTCCTTTAAAGTGGGTGTGCATCTGCCTGAGAGGTAAGGAACCAACAGTCTGCATTCAAGTGAATCAGATCTGTAAAACTGATGCATACGCAACACTCAGGTTCTGGAGCAGGACTGCAGTTCAGAAGTGGACGAACAACCAGAACTTTCCACCAGAGTTTACAGCTGATGAACGCGAAGAAGAAGAAAAAGATTTAAGAAAGGATAAAACATTTCAGGACCGTTAGTTGCATGTCCCCTCCAGGAGGCTGCAGAACAAATTCCAGCCTGTGGTGACTGTTTTGGTTTCACTAGGCGATTTTACATTCAGTAGTTTGCCATTGCTGTTTCAACGGTCGGCTCTCGTTACCCTGTCTAAATCAAAGCAAAGTGGTCTGCTGCCAAAAATCGTGGCAGTTGGAATCTATCCGGGTACCCAGAAATTATAATTATAATAATTATCATTATTATTAATACTTTTACTACTACTACTTCTACTACTACTACTATTACTACTACTACTACTACTACTACTACTGCTGCTGCTGCTGCTGCTGATACTACTACTACTACTACTACTACTACTACTACTACTACTACTACTACTACTACTACTACTACTACTACTACTACTACTACTACTGCTGCTACTACTACTGCTACTACTACTACTACTACTACTACTACTGCTGCTGCTACTACTACTACTACTACTACTACTACTAATAATAATAATAATAATAATAATAATAATAATAATAATAATAATAATAATAATAATAATAATAATAATAATAATAATAATAATAATAATAATAATAATAATACGAAATCCTTCTGCTTATAATACTATTACTACTACGAGTACTACTCATTCTATTATAACTACCACCACTTCTACTACAATAACTTATAAACAACAACTATTGCTACTACTACTACTACTACTACTACTACTACTACTACTACTACTACTACTACTACTACTACTACTACTACTACTACTACTACTACTACTACTACGACTACTGATGCTGCTACTACTACTACTTCTAATATCTCTTCTACTTGCACTGCTTCTGTCATTATTTTCATCATTATTATTTCCTCAACTATTACATTCACTACTACTACTTCTACTAATAATTCTACTTCAGTCCGCTGCAAAAGTCGTGACCAACATTGAAAAATCTGTAACTCAGTAACGTTTCCTTATAAACTGTTTAAATATGACATGCAACCTGTTAATAATCATATTTGTGTAGTATAATAATTATAATGTAAACAGTCGTGTCATTTTTTTTATTTAACCTTATTTGCATGTTAACGGTTAACGGAATGTTGCAAATTTGGCAAAACATAAAATTGCTTATGTTTTAGAGTGAAGCCATGCAAGGCACACTTATTTTAAATAGTGAATAGGATATACCATGACTGTCATAATCTCATTCATATGATTGAAGCCCAGTTCCTATGCGTTTCTTTCAGGTGGTCAATCTCCTCATTAGCCTCCCATGAGTTACAAAAACACAATATTTCATTGTATATGGGATATGCTATCAAAATAATCACTGCACGTGTGAAAGGATTTCCAAAACAATCCCAACGCTTGCGGTGAAAAGTAAACGATTTGTGTAAGTTTGTGTATATTCAATTTTACTAGGGGTTCACAAGTTATTGTTTCGACAGAGGAAATAGATTTACCGCTTTAAGAAAACAACAGCTCGTGTTCAAATCTAAATTATAAAATCATAAGAATAGGGACAATCCTAGACCTCAAGCAAAAATTAGTATTGATCAGCTGATCCCTTTTCAAGACATTTGTTAAAGTTTTAGAACACAACTTTTGGAACGGACTATACCACTATTCCTTACTTCTACTGCTATACAATACACACTAACAAACATATCCCATAACAAGGACATTTATTCCAGACAGAAGAAGAGAGCCTACAGCTGCAGCAGTGCTCCCTCCGCCCTACTCCAGACCTAACCCCGTGTACTATCCAGACCCTGAGGAAAGATACTACTCACGTAAGTCATCCTTACTGTAATATGATGTAACAAACATGTCGAAAGCATCTATTACATTAGCTCTTGGCCCGGCTCTCTAGCGAAGTTGGTTAAACCTGACTTTCGCGGCGGCCGGGTGACGAACTCCTTGTGGTCCGGGTTCACTTCCAGGGGTAGGCAGAAAAGCCACATTTCTCCCAGATTAACGGTACCTATAATGGAATCAATGTCGAAGGGTTGCGATATCCATAGTACCGAGCTAAAGGGTTTACAACTCATGGTTTCTGGATACGTTAAAAAAAAAAAAAAAACATTAGCTCTTAGAAAATGTTGCTTAAACGATGTCTTTGCATATCGTTTAAAAAAAAAAACCTGCATGGTAATTCGATGGCATGTTTTTATTAGTTCACGTGAAAGCCTTTACGTCTAAAATCTATCAATGACCCGATGAAAAATAACGGCCAATTGATTGTTGAACACTCTGGTATTCGTGCGTGCACTTTGGCACTTTACTCATTAAATTACAAAGATTTCAAATGTCAAAATCATGAGAAAATTAGTTTCATTTCAGTAGCTGTGTGCTTAAATAAAAGTGTATAGCTGTGTACACAAAAGGATTCGTTTCATTTTCGTGCCAGTATACGTAGGTGTGTAAGGAAATAAGCAAGCTGATAGACTTGCAGGTAAGGCTACTGTGAAAGCTGGACAAGCTATGTACTAGGCTGATATACTGAATGCTCTACGAGATTTAAGATTTTAGCATGAACCAACTGAAAATTGTGAATCTGCAACCATGGTCAGACTGCAAGAATAGCAAGTTAAACGGGGTGTCGCCAAACAAGAACACTACGCGGGTAGCCAAAGAAGAAGAATAAACCAACACAGAACTGGTGTCGTCAGCCGATACATGCTGCGGGATTTACTGAGCAGGGAATCCGAGCACTTGTGGACTGAGTAGTTCCATGTGCAATGAGGATAATCTGTCGACTAACTAACACAAAAGAGTTGATTTAAGTAAACCTCGAATCCGACTTAGAAGGCAGAGGAGAGATAATATGTAGACATACACAATTTTAACTGGCGTTCCCCAAATCTTTGTTTGTGTGGTAATAGGTAATCATAGGAGATCTGAACATCAAGGAAGATTGGCTGGTAAACAGTATCTTGTCCCAGACATTGAAGTATGTTAGCCGTATCAGGTGCCATGATAGATTCGAAAAAAATAATAGCAGAAGGCATGGTACCAGGACAGAGGGGCAGGGGCCAACCAGCACGAAGATGGGCCTAGTTATGACACCTTGGGTAGGAAAGTACAAGATGCAGGAGAGTTGGCGAGAGACAAAGTTTCGTTCTGGCAGACTGGGATGAGAGAGACGTTCTGCAAAATACCTGTTACATGATGATGAGTAGTTATACATGATGACTGGCACCTTTGCGTCTTTCCAGACGGAAGTGTTATACTGCGCTCTGAGGAAACATTTGACTCACAGCCCATGGCGATGGCGAGTGTAACTAGCCAGATCCGCGCACGTTAAGAAAAGACTTGCAAATTTATAGCGTAGAATGTCAGGACCAATGTTGTCAACATCTGTGTTTAGTGTGTTTGCTCTCAGACGCTTAGATCTCATCCTTTCTTCAATCATTTCTTCCTTCATTCTCATTCCCTTCCTAATGGGCCCCCTCCCCACAATACGGTACATGGTGTTTTGTCCCCACGAGTCCACCACAATTCCTGTATCATTCATGTCCCATATATGCAGGCATAATTTACAACTTTAATTTATGCGTTTCAATGCTACCAGTTCTAGAGATGGTCAGTGACAACAAGCCACAAGAACACTAGTAACCCAGGAAATGAGACGACTGAGAAAGGCTGCAGGAGTCACCAGAATAGATAATATCGGAAATGAGGTCATGAGAAAAACAGTCGGCACGGAACCACTTTTAAATTACATACAAAGTCAGCAGATCAAATGGGTTTCCCACTTGGAGAGAATGACTTGTGATCCCATACCATTTAATACATACACCAAAAGAGGAGATAGAGGACGAGGTAGACAAAGAACAAGATGAAAAGATAACATCAAAGAAACTCTACAACAGCACCATGTGACTATGATTAAGGAGGCCAGAAGAGCAAGAAGGAGATCTTTCGGAAGTAAAGAAGAAGAGGGAAAAAAAGATAATATACAACACACGCCGTTAATAAGATAATAAAGTAAGCTAGGGAGTCGCCGTGGCGTAGCGGCTAAATGCTCGCGTGCGCATCGGAAGGTCGTGGGTTCTTTCCCTAGCAGAGCTGGACTTTTTTCAGAAATGACCTTGACTCCCAGCTCAACCCAGTCTTGAGTGGATACCGGGTGCAGTCCCGGGAAGTAAAGGATGCTGACTACACACCCATATTGTGACGATTGGTTTAAAAAAATATAGGTCTAGCCCTATATGCTCTATACGCCTAAAGGCGTAGTAAAGGGTCCTTAACTTTACTTGTTTTTATCGTAATTTAACCATGTCCTTGTTTTGCGACAGCTGGCAATGGAATGAGACCCTGCAAACTTCCAGGGTGTGAACTGTGCAGTTTTGTGACTGGGTCTCCAACCTTCTGGGGTCCAGCTGGGGTCTTCAACATCAACGACCGTCTGACCTGCCAGGACAGCAAGGTCGTCTACGCTATCATCTGTGTCAAGGACGATAAGGTATGAGGAATGAATGGATGACTGTATCAACGAAAGAATGAATCTTCTTCTTCTTCTTCTTCTTCTTCTTCTTCTTCTTCTTCTTCTTCTTCTTCTTCTTCTTCTTCTTCTTCTTCTTCTTCTTCTCTACCACCTTGTAAATCATCGAAGTATCGAGGGGATATGTAACATTCGTTGATGAGCTCTGTCAAGAGCACTATTAAGACTGATGTTCATTTCTGTAAGGCTGTTTTTAATGCCATCACTCCATTTTTCCGATGTCTCCAACTTGCTATATACCCGTTGTTACGTTTTAGTGTGGCTCGCTGTAGCATATAGTACCAGAGCATTCTTGTTGGTGTCCAAACCACTTCATTTGTTGTTCTTTGATGACCTGTAAGACTGGCTTTATTTCTAGCATTCGTCTGATTTCGTAATTTCGTATTCAGTCCTTCCTTGAAACTCCTACAGCTCTTCTACGGCATTTCATCTCCGTTGTCACAATTGTACGTTCATTGGATTGTGTAAATGTCCACGTTTGGCACTGATAGCATAGTGTTGGCCAAAAAATAGTTCTAATAAGCTTCACTTTAGTACTCCGGGGTATCTACTTGTGTGTCAACAGAGGAGATAGTTGCCCATGAAAGAATGAATTACTATGTAAATTAATGAATACGGGGATGGATGATGAGTGGAGGCTATAGTTGATGGATGAGTGTATGAATTAACTTATCTGCGCCCAGGAATTCTCGTATGTGCCCTGCCTCTTTCCTCGGTGGCAATGAAAAGTTGCCACGCTGACATCCTGCATGTATGCGCACGTTTGTGGTGTGGTGAGTTAGATTTCGGGCATGAGGAACAGCTAATGCCATTGTGTTTTATAGGGAGATACTTTGTGCCTCACCTCTGGCGCTAACAGGCTCTGTCCTGGTTTTAGGAATACTTTTGAAAGATGCTTGCTGGCTGGCTTCTTGTAAAAGAAAAAGATAATTCGATCTCGTTGAGACTTTGTCAGCGATGTAGCTGATGCCTATAGTTGCGATCTTTATTGAGTAGGGTTTCTTTGAATATGGTTTCCTTTGGTTCCATTTTGTTGTGTTGTTCTAGTCGGTTTAATTGATGTTGCTTCTTCCTTGTATAGAGTTGTTTTGTACCTGATGCTGTTATATCTGGAGGCAAGGGTCTTCTATTTCTTTACTGTATCACTTTGTTTCGTTCCTGACTATGTCAGGACACATTTGGATATTGTATTTTGGTTCTGTCCTATCCTCTCGTCGTCTTGTGATTTCTGTCTTCTGAAAGATTCCTACCAATTGTTTTTATTGTGCGCCCCCGACAATGGTCTATATCGGCCTAAACCCAAGTTGCATGGGATCTCGGTGTTGATGGTTCCCAGAAATGCAATGTCCAGAAATCCGCTGGTTTTCATAATTGTTCATTGTTCGATGTTATTATTTTTTTTTTTTAGATTATATTAGATTATAATCATCGCACATCGGACATGGCCATAAGGGCTCCGATCTTTCCCTGAGTATCTCTCCAAGTGGTTTTAGGCTAACTACTCCCAATCTGTTCTGGCTGATGTAACGACGGGTGTCTCCCGAATGGGTTTCCTGTCTCGTCGCTCCAAGTTGTATACCTATGTTATGCAGTCTATTCAGTATTCTACGAAACTGAAAGACTCACAGCGTTTAGTTTCTCGTGTGGCATTGCTGATGTCTCTCCTGTCCATTCCTCATAGTCGCACTGCCAGCCAAAGCGTCTGCTTTCTCGTTGCCTTTCCCACCAGCATGGCCTGGGACAAACATTAAGGTGATCTTGCGAAACGCAAATGGATTTATTGCATTAAGTGTTTTTCATTTGGTCAAAACAATGGACGTTTTAAATAAGATCAAAGTTTAAAATAAGTTCAGCACTTTAAACAGATATGATCGTAGAAAAGACAGAGAAATTAAAACAAGATTTCAGAAAGACAAAAAAAAAATAAAATAAAAATTTAAAAAATTCGCTTATCAACTGACCCGAATTTTGAATGTTGAAATAAGAATTAACATCACAGCACTCGAGACACTCCCACAAGTACTCCATCCCCATCTTCAGCAGCAAGCGAAGAGTTCCAATTCCGATAGCACCAGTAACCGTCGTTTGAAATACCCGACTATCGCAATGGAGACAAAAATACAAATGATAAAATCTCTCTTTATACCATCCTTGCACGATGAGTTTCAGCGTTGGACATTGACTAAAGAAATCGAAAGAAAACTGTCAACATACGTAAGGTCATGATTAAAATGTGAGGAGATCATGTGAGAAACGCAGAAATTACAAGAACTATTGGATTGAGGTTTGAGGTTTGAACAACAGATCAACATCAAGGCACCCGGGTAATAACCCATAAGAGCTCCGTTCTTTCTTCTAACTCAATTCTGATTATTGGATCAAAACCTTTAACCAAATTCTTAAACAAAAAAACAAAGACTGAAATGGTTCGGCCATTTAATTAGAATGAATCCTACGATGCCAGCAGCCGGAGTGTACAAAGTGAAAAGTGAAACACCAAAAGGTAGGGAAGAACCAAGATGAAGACTGGTTAAAGAAGTCACTGCTACCTCAACTCCTTCAGTTCCAAAAAGTCGCCCAAAAAGGTGAATCACACACACACTTAACATTACAAACAGCGCATAATATGTTCAGTGACATTTTTAATTGGTCAGTTTGTTTAAAAAAATCTGGCTACTCCATTGGCCACATTTCTTGTGATTAGCCCCTGTTGATAATTTATAATTTGACTCTGTTTGGACATTTGCTTGCCCTGGCTCGGATACTGATCATCTGTTGATCTACACCTGGTGAAACAGAATATGAATTGATGCGCGCCTAAGTGTGTATGTGTGCGTGTGCGTTTTGCTGGTCTTGACCTCAGGTCTACAGTGCGTTCCGCATTTCACTTGGGGTAATGAAAAGCATTTTTTTTTTAGTTATTGTTGCTGTCATTTTCGCTGACATAGAAACAAGATAACTGAATGGTGGCTCGTTGCTACCAACACTAAACTCGTAACTAACGTAAAAACACGTTTTCATTTACAGGTATTTATTGGCCATTCTCAGCGGAAATTGGCGGACACTTTCAGAGAACACCTGGCCAATATCAAGACTAGGCAGGTCAATGACCCAGTTGCCTTTCATTTTTCTCGCGAAGGGCACAGCGTCCTGGATCTGCGGGTGAGTTGCTTATTAATATATATATATATACTGTTGAAAATAGAAGCGTATAGTTATTCAGTGGCGTCGTACTGTATTACAAAAACGTATAGTTATTACATTTTTTACCTTTTAGTAGCTATGCCCTTCCTTTTGTTAGTAGTAAAGCGTTATCGGGCAACTATGTGTTTACACACCACCCCCCCCCCCCCCCATGTCTGTCTGTCTGTGTATATGCATTTTTAAATTAGATGCTATTTATTTTCACCGGCTTTGATAAGATAGATAAAGTATTCCATCTTCTTCTTCTTCGACAACTGCTGCTGCGGCGCTCGTCCTTATGAGGGATGTTGTCATGCTGCAGTATGATTTACAGCTAGTGTGTGATATCTGTGATATTCGTCCCAGCAATTCCCGTTAAAAAAAAAAAATTATCTAATTAGTTGCTTTTTGAGACATACTATTTGGAAGCCAGTGGTTCCCCCCCCCCCCCCACCCATTAAAAAAAATTATAATAATAAACAGGCCCTCTAACCCACACGGAAAATCCTTCTTGTTCTTTGCCCCCACAACACCCCTGCCTGTTTGTTCTCAGTTATATTTACTTACTGTGGTTGTGTTTCGTTTTTAACAGAATGTCAGAAAAATACAACTCTACTTTAAAAATACATAAAGAATAAACGTCCAGGGGATCGAATTCGTCGGAGAGGGTTTAATCCCATATGGCTCGTTTCTCTGCTGAACGGCTCGCAACCTGCAGAGAACGTCGCACAAAGCACAAGGACCGTAGCTCATGGGACAATCTACATGGGTCTCCGTAAAAATTTGCACTCGTGAACTAAACGGTGCAGCTTTGAAACGAACCCACAACTTTCAGAGCGAGGAAAACGGCTTAACCACTTGACGACGTATACTCCACACCCACTTAAGTTTAGGGGTGTTCCCCCCCCCCACCCACCCACCCCTGTCACTCCTTCTCTTCCTGTAGTCCCCCAATCCACTCGACGAGAAGCATAGATCACTCACATGTAAATGTTGTTACTCCAACCAGGTATCGGCCCTTGCCAGAATCAACTGTGATGTGGGCACGCGAGCGAGGCTGGAGAAAGCCCTGTCCTATGACATGGACCGTCCTCACAATTCCTACTATGGGATCAACAACGACTTTGAATTTCTGTGAATACAGAACTGGTTTTATTTGATATGTAAATTGTTTACCGTTGTTGCTTAAAAATTGGATCCATGTCTACTTTGTTGTCTTATTTGTGGGTTAGTTTGACGTTAGTCTCCCCAAATAGAGTAGGTCACTTTTCATTTACAAGTTTGTTGGGCTGGTCGACTTCCCTGAAAGATACGGGTGTGTCACACTCTGTTGTTTGATTTCTGTGATGTCTTGCATTTACGTTTTCATTCCGACAAAGAGAATGCATGTGACATAGGTTGCAGAGGCACCCTAGAGTGCTTTGGGCGTATGCCAGGGGTGCCGCGGCAATAATCAAGAAAAGTCGGTTACAACTTGGGAAATTTTTAAAGAAGGCATGTAGAAACTTTAAAGTTAAAATGTAAGTTGTCTTTCCTCGCCAGTACCGAAAATAGTTTATTTCTTGTTTGAGAACCGCTGTGTTAACGCATCGTTAGCCCGACCCGGTGACGTCAGCAGCACAACCCGTCAGCTGGAGCCGGTCGTGGCTAATACATGCAGCTCACCCAAATCCCTTCTAATTTTTTAACTGCACTCTCTGGCTCCGAGCGCGCTCGCGCGTTTGTGTATGTGTGTGTCTGCCTTTGTTTCTGTGTACCTGTGCGCGCCAGTGCAAGGACATTCTAATTATATTGTTCTCGAGTTTTCTTAGCCATCGCTAGCGTCTTTTCTTCACATCTTGGTCCACTGTAACTGGTTACCTCGTGTCTAGTAAACTATAGGTAATAAGTAAAGAGTGGCTCGTTCCCCAGCCTAGAGGTCCTGAATTAGAATGTGTACAGACACGGCTGTTTTATATATATATAATCTTGTGCGTGAAAAGGATCTTCACAGTCTTTTGTCATGGCATGGAGGGGTGGCAGCACACGAACTGATACACGCAGTTGAAGACTACAGATTGTGGAGAGGCATGTTCGCCCAACGGCAAAGACACTTGATGATATATATATATATATATATATATATATATATATATATATATATATATATATATATATATTGTATACAGTAAATGTTGCAACGGCAGCTCTAAACAAAAAATAATTAGACAATTTTTAGAACCGCTGACTTAGAAGAATACTACATCTCCACTGGACATATTTCAGATCCAGTACGCAAATAAGACAAGAGACCAAGTAAGATAATGTATCCAATTTTAAAAGAAAGCGCCGCTGGAATTACAGCGGCCATGAGCTCAGAATTGATAAGATCAGACTCCCCCATCAAGCCCTCATATGGACACAGAAAGGGAAAAGAAAACGAGGAAGAACCCATTGAGACCCTGCGTAGAACCATCATCAGGAAAGGCTCAGCCATGGGCCTAATGAACATCTAAGACATAAAACAGGTGGCAGCGAACCGCCAGACATGGAGAGCTATGACCTCTGCACTATACATGTCCTTAGGCTCAAGTGGAAAGTCTATACAACACATCCTTAAAATGAATGTCAAGAGACCGAACTCAAGAGATCGTGTTTAAAAAAAGGTCATGCTAACCGGGGTCCAGTAAAAAAAAATACATCCCCGCTGAAGCCAACATTTTGTTCGTATTAACCAAGTGTTCTTTTACAATGACTTCATATTAACGAGGTTTTTAGTCTTACCGACCTTTGCTCCCGAGTCGTCCCAACCTGAAATGGGTACCAGAACTGTGCTGTTTTCACGGCACGCATGAAAGTCTCTGTTTCTCTAGCCCAGTTCTCCAGCCCTGTGTGATTCCATTATCAATGCATAGTCAATGTCATGCATCCACCTTCGTAGAGGTCGCCCTCTGTCTCGTTTTCCTGAAACTGCAATCTCCATTACGATTCTCTTTCATACCACCAAAGAGCGTCATTCTCTCTTTATGCCTAGTGGTACACGAGGCTTCAGAGAGGACTTTCCATGCTTTACTGTCCTGTGCAATCTTCAGCTCAGTTTTCCATGTCAGAGATGCCGCATTCAGGTCACTCTCCATCGTGGGTCATATTTTGGTTTTGAAGTATAGTAGACTTGTTTTCCCATCATAGGCTTTCTTTCGGCTTTCACCCATGTTGTTTATGCTGACAGAGGGACTCTGTCCCAAGATCGCCGGACGTTTAGAGCACTTACTTCCTCTTGAAGTTTAAGTAACGTTGTAGTTTTTTTTTTTTTACAGGGCAGAGCTGTCAACACTGCTCCTAACCCCCGAGCCTGGAGAACCGGGAAGCTATCTTTAGTCTGGCCCCTCACCAATGACCTGTCCGGCTTGAGTGACCCTGCCAGGAACATACGTTCTCGCCGGCATAGCTCATTAGATCACTGGGGCTCTCAAGCTACCACACCACTACAAGGTCATGGCCTCTGGGGGGAGACCATGGCGCATGACTTGTCCAAAGTACTTCAGCTTCCGGAAGAGGATGCTGTTTATGAGCCAGTTCTCCTTAAAGTTCAGGTCATGCTGGGTGAAGGTGTGTTTCTTCTTCTTGGTTGACGGGGGTCGATGCGGGATAATTAATTAATCCTGTGACTGCTCGGCTAGGATGGTTATGAAACAATATATTTAATACTCTTCACCTTTGAGATATTTCATGAATAATTCGTAGTATTCATACTTTGTTGTATTTGAGAAATAAAATAAACATGCACATATCCGAGTATCGTTGGAACATATATTGAGCAGTTAAATATGAACAAAGAAATAACACTAATAGTATAAATTTGATTTCTCAACTCTTCATATGACATTCGTATATTACCGTACCTGTTTGTATTGACTGCGATAAGTTGAGGCAATATAGTAATTCTTCTTCTTTTGCTGCTGCTTCTTCTTCTTCTTCTTCTTCTTCTTCTTCTTCTTCTTCTTCTTCTTCTTCTTCTTCTTCTTCTTCTTCTTCTTCTTCTTCTTCTTCTTCTTCTTCTTCTTCTTCTTCTTCTTCTTCTTCTTCTTCTTCTTCTTCTTCTTCTTCTTCTTCTTCTTCTTCTTCTTCTTCTTCTTCTTCTTCTTCTTCTTCTTCTTCTTCTTCTTCTTCTTCTTCTTCTTCTTCTTCTTCTTCTTCTTCTTCTTCTTCTTCTTCTTCTTCTTCTTCTTCTTCTTTCTTCTTCTTCTTCTTCTTCTTCTTCTTCTTCTTCTTCTTCTTCTTCTTCTTCTTCTTCTTCTTCTTCTTCTTCTTCTTCTTCTTCTTCTCTTCTTCTTCTTCTTCTTCTTCTTCTTCTTCTTCTTCTTCTTCTTCTTCTTCTTCTTCTTCTCTTCTTCTTCTTCTTCTTCTTCTTCTTCTTTCTTCTTCTTCTTCTTCTTTCTTCCTTCTTCTTCTTCTTCTTCTTCTTCTTCTTCTTCTTCTCTTCTTCTTCTTCTTCTTCTTCTTCTTCTTCTTCTTCTTCTTCTTCTTCTTCTTCTTCTTCTTCTTCTTCTTCTTCTTCTTCTTCTTCTTCTTCTTCTTCTTCTTCTTCTTCTTCTTCTTCTTCTTTCTTCTTCTTTCTTCTTCTTCTTCTTCTTCTTCTTCTTCTTCTTCTTCTTCTTCTCTTCTTCTTCTTCTTCTTTCTTCTTCTTCTTCTTCTTCTTCTTCTTCTTCTTCTTCTTCTTCTCTTCTTCTTCTTCTTTCTTTCTTCTTCTTCTTCTTCTTCTTCTTCTTCTTCTTCTTCTTCTTCTTCTTCTTCTTCTTCTTCTTCTTCTTCTTCTTCTTCTTCTTCTTCTTCTTCTTCTTCTTCTTCTTTCTTCTTCTTCTTCTTCTCTTCTTCTTCTTCTTCTTCTTCTTCTTCTTCTTCTTCTTCTTCTTCTTCTTCTTCTTCTTCTTCTCTTCTTCTTCTTCTTCTTCTTCTTCTTCTTCTTCTTCTCGTCTTTCTTCTTCTTCTTCTTCTTTCTTCTCTTCTTTCTTCTTCTTCTTCTTCTTCTTCTTCTTCTTCTTCTTCTTCTTCTTCTTCTTCTTCTTCCTCTCTTCTTCTTCCTTCTTCTTCTTCTTCTTCTTTCTTCTTCTTCTTCTTCTTCTTCTTCTTCTTCTTCTTCTTTCTTCTTCTTCTTCTTCTTCTTCTTCTTCTTCTTCTTCTTTCTTCTTCTTCTTCTTCTTCTCTTCTTCTTCTTCTTCTTCTTCTTCTTCTTCTTCTTCTTCTCTTCTTCTTCTTCTTCTTCTTCTTCTTCTTCTTCTTCTTCTTCTTCTTCTTTCTTCTTCTTCTTCTTCTTCTTCTTCTTCTTCTTCTTTCTTCTTCTTCTTCTTCTTCTTCTTCTTCTTCTTCTTCTTCTTCTTTCTTCTTCTTCTTCTTCTTCTTTCTTCTTCTTCTTCTTCTTCTTCTTCTTCTTCTTCTTCTTCCTTCTTCTTCTTCTTCTTCTTCTTCTTCTTCTTCTTCTTCTTCTTCTTCTTCTTCTTCTTCTTCTTCTTCTTCTTCTTCTTCTTCTTCTTTCTTCTTCTTCTTCTTCTTCTTCTTCTTCTTCTTCTTTCTTCTTCTTCTTCTTCTTCTTCTTCTTCTTCTTCTTCTTCTCTTCTTCTTCTTCTTCTTTCTTCTTCTTCTTCTTCTTCTTCTTTTCTTTTTCTTCTTTCTTCTTCTTCTTCTTCTTCTTCTTCTTCTTCTCTTCTTCTTCTTCTTCTTCTTCTTCTTCTTCTTCTTCTTCTTCTTCTTCTTTCTTCTTCTTCTTCTTCTTCTTTCTTCTTCTCTTCTTCTTCTTCTTCTTCTTCTTCTTCTTCTTCTTCTTCTTCTTCTTCTTCTTCTTCTTCTTCTTCTTCTTCTTCTTCTTCTTCTTCTTCTTCTTCTTCTTCTTCTTCTTCTTCTTTTCTTCTTCTTCTTCTTCTTCTTCTTCTTCTTCTTCTTCTTCTTCTTCTTCTTCTTCTTCTTCTTCTTCTTCTTCTTCTTCTTCTTCTTCTTCTTCTTCTTCTTCTTCTTCTTCTTCTTCTTCTTCTTCTTCTTCTTCTTCTTCTTCTTCTTCTTCTTCTTCTTCTTCTTCTTCTTCTTCTTCTTCTTCTTCTTCTTCTTCTTCTTCTTCTTCTTCTTCTTCTTCTTCTTCTTCTTCTTCTTCTTCTTCTTCTTCTTCT